CACCAAGAGAATTTCACTTGTCCAAGCCAAGCGTGAAGATATGCTGCAAGGAATGGTTCAGAATGTGACGGGGCTCGAAGCTCTTGCTGATGTCGAAGATCTCACTGTGACGTATGGCATTGTGACGAATTTTCTCGAGTGGAAGTTCTTGATCAGTGGCGACGAGAAGGTCAGAGAGCATGAGACTGTTCTTCCTCAAGCGGATACCATACCGTCGTTTGAAGGATTGAAAGAAATTGTGGGGAAAATTTACGCGATGCTGCAATAAATATCTTCCATATGAGTTGCAATCCTTTTGCTTATTTTCTAATTGAGATCTTCTTACATGCACTCATCTGCTTAATCATGGCATCGAAAGGTATCTCTGATCGTCCACTCAACGATAGCACTTAAGAGCATCTAGAGAAATCCGTCAAGCTACCGGTGAAACTAAAGAATGAGAGATCAACAGAGCGCGCGCCACACCTCCAGGATTGAATCAAGTAATATTTGTTTTATTACTGATAAATATAAAGTTAGTAATATACAAAAAATGGCGTACTCACCTCAGCAATACCTCGCTAACAAAGAGCGCATTAAGGCTGCGCAGAAGCGCTACTATCAGCGCACACGTGAAACTCGACTGTCGTATCAAAAGAGCTACGACGATAAGAACAGAGCAAAATTGAACTTATTGATGAACCTAACAACGAAACCGAACTTAATTAATTATTTTTTTCTCAAATAAAAAGTCAATCCCAATATAGTCAATGACAATGGCTTAAAACCTCCAAAAAGGTATAACCCAAATATTTGAATTGATTAATTTCAGAATCTTTTGTAATGACTAAGATATAAAGTCGATCCTGATACATGATCAAAATATTATAAAGTCATATCTACGAAGAAGAATATAGCCAAGCATATATAGGCAACATGTTTGCATACGAGCTCGAAGGATTAAAGAGATTAAATATTCAAGCTATCAAATGGGGTAGTAGCTACCGTGTTAAGGTGCGTGGTAGAACGGGTAAGATGGTTTATGTAAGCAACGTTTCGCGCCCAATCAACCAGAAATTGGTAGCTAAGCAGTACAATGTTTCGACTGAAACCCTTGAGAAACACTTGTCGCCTGACTACAAGGCTGATCCTAAGTACCGTTTTTACAATGGTAATCACATGGAATCACACCTATATGAGGGTATTGAGGCTACTGATTTCTACGATAAGCTTGAATTTTTTCTTTCGACTCAGGCAAGTGCGTTCAAGGTAAATGTTGCTCTTGGGTACGAACTTGTGAGCAAGACTGATCCTGATGACACTCGCTACTTCTATCCGAATCTCGCTAACACTTATGTGTTCAATAAGCCTGTCGGCAGCGGGGCTGCCGTAGCTCTAGCGTCAGAGGAAGACGTTCGACTCAAAGAGTCACCAATACTAAGTTCCTTATCCAAAGGACACTTACAGCCCAAGACCAGGGCTCAAAGTTAACACCTTAACTTTTATGCTTCAAAACCAGAAGTGTTTTATTTACTATTATTGCGGCCAAGCCGCCTAGGTGTGAATGTATCTGTTTAACTATCTAGCATAGTTAAACCTAATCAAATGCATAACGTGTGGCTTTCGGCCAACGTACTGAGAGACCTTGTTAACTCTCCAGCTTATGTACTGAGAGTTTGTTAACTCTCCGGGTACTTCGTACCCCTGTGTGTTCCACACTATGTAACCCGTTACACTCTCCCCCACTAAGATGAGAACATTCCGTTCTCGAAACTTCCTCAGCGAGGTCACGTCTTGTTAAGACGGCGGAGGTTACTACACCCTCACCCCAGCGTTGTACAGCTCCCGTGAACTCACAAACGCCTACGCATCGTTGATGCCCAACTTCTCGTCGTCGGCCCACGGCCCAATGTTTCAAGCGCAGCGCGCATCTTGCTCTCAAGCGGTCTCAGACCTACGCTCGCGCTCCGCGCCTACTCCAAGAGTTGCAAACCACTTAGAGCAATGCTCTTGACTCATTCGAGTCGTCAACAGCAGCTCAGCGGTTGAACACTCGCTTCACAAGCGATAGGTCGGTGGTTCGAACCCACCAGGGCACAGCCCTCTCGTTCCATGAACGATTGTTCACGCTTGGACAAGCTTAAGGGCAACACCCTTTTAGCTCAATGGTTGAGCGTTGGCTTTGAGAGCCACAGGTCGGTGGTTCGAACCCACCAGGGCACAGCCCTCTCGTTACATGAGCGATTGTCCACGCTTGAACAAGCTTAAGGGCAATCCCCTTTTAGCTCAGTGGTCGAGCTTTGGCTTTGGAAGCCACAGGTCGGTGGTTCGAACCCACCAGGGCACAGCCCTGTCGTTCCATGAACTACTGTCCTTGAAAGGACAAGCTTAAGAGCAACGCCCTTTCAGCTCAGTGGTCGAGCGCTGGCTTTGGAAGCCACAGGTCGGTGGTTCAAATCCACCCGGGCGCAGCCCTCTCATACCATGAGTAGTCCGTTCTCGGACTGACGTACGGGCATCGCCCTTATAGCTCAATGGTAGAGCTCCGGCCTGTCAAGCCAAAGGCCAGTGGTTCGATCCCCGTCCGGGACACCACTTTCGCTGTTACAGCGCATCCACATTTGGATCATGCTCATCGAGCAAGTTGTTTCAAAACAACTATGCGTCTATCGAGACGCTTGTGCCTGAGCCTTGTTCAGCACAACACGAAGCACCTGCTTCCTTCGGGACCATGTCCCTAACACTACGAGGTCTCTCCACCTCCTGCTCCCGCTGCGAGCACCGCTCATACGTACGAGCTGGCTGATGCAGCCACTGGTCAGAGCCTGAGCTCAACTACTGACCTGATCGCCCCCCCACTCTAGTGAGAGGCGCCCAGCGCATGGCGACGCTGTCGCACGCCATGGTGGCGCTTCGGCACATGATGTGCCCGGTCGTAAGCGTCAACGACGTCAGGGCAATCTTTCCGTAGGATAACCTCAAACTTCCATGAGTTCTGTGAGTGAGGGTAACCCCTCCACTTCACTAAGTACCGGGTACGACCCTGGCGTCTACGCCACGCCACAAGGCGTTCCACGTGAAAGTGGAGCTCACCATGCTCATCGAGCAGAGCAGGAGGAGGCCTTGCCTCAGCTGGGCTCTCGCGGGGAGAGTCAGCACTTGCCGGAACGGCGTCTGCGTCCATACGACGCCGGCGTCCACGACGCGAACGTTCACGTTCACCGCCCATCGGTCGATCTCGAAGAGATGATCCACCTTGTGGATAGGTTAGAGCCACCACTGTTGACTCACAACCAGGTCTCGGACCTTGAGCGTCCAGTCGCTCGGCTGAACGTTCAGCTTGCCTTGCTCCTGCATCTCGAGCACTTCGCTCCGCGACATGTGGCTCTGCCACATGCTGTTGATCAGCCATCTGTGGATCCACCACTTGCTGTCGTTCAGCCTCCCGTGGCTCTACCACCTGCTGCCCTGCAGCTGTCCGTGGCCCAGCCACCGTTTAATGCCAACGCCTCCGCGCTCACTTGAGCAGGGTCTTGGTATGGCTTAAGCAAGCCAACATAGAAGACCGGATGCGTGCGCATCTTCTTCGGAAGGTTGAGCGTACCGTATTTGAGATCTCCTACTTCAGAGTGATCTCCTAATTCAGACTGCCCTCCAACCAATCACATATCGAGAATGGAACAGCGCACAAGTCTAGATCTCCTAATTCAGAGTACAAAAAACGTGCTAAACTGTAACTATCCACCCAGAAATTCGCAATGGCGCGCACTCCCCTCACGGCCAACGGAAAGAAAGAACCCGTATTTCTGGCACTGGCAAGCCTCCCAAGAAGTTCAAGCGCGTTGCCATTTCATACGCCTACAAGCTTTCGGTTGTGGAGGGAACCTGATTGGGAGCTGCTACGACGGTTGCTGGAAGAAGTGCCCGTAGTGCGCCATGCTGTGGATACGCGTCACGACAGATAACTTCGTAGTTCCCGAAGAATAACTTGATAACTAAATTGTTTTGTTTAAATAATACGTGATAGAGATGCGTCGGTACATGTACAGATCTTGTGTATTTTGCAACAATACAACTTCAAAAATATTGGGTCTGAAGTAGGAGATCTCAAATACGGTATACGCTAGGCCCTTCCTGGCCACGACCTTGAACGGTCCTATGAACCGAGGTCTTAACTTCGTCTTGAAGACTGCAGACACTGCATGAGTAGGTAGGTTCTTAGCGTTTAATAAAACTTGGTCACCGACCTCAAACCTCTCAACATTGCTTCTGCCCTTGGCATCTGCATGTTCCTTCTGCGTGTCTTGGCTTTCAGCCATAGCGTCGCGTACTTGACGCATTACGCTCAGTCTCAAAGAAACAAAGTCATCGACTTGCTTGCGAACCGCAACAGGGCTGACATCAGCTAGCCGCTCGGCTATC